GGGCCTGGGAAATGTAGATTTTAGCTTTCCAGTCTCTGCATTACAGGAAAACTGAATCGGTCAGAGTCCAGTCAGGAGACAGAAGCCACACTGATTGAACAGAGAGAATTTAATATGCAGAATGTTTAACCAGATTAAAGTTGTTAACTAGGTCATCAAAAAGGTAAAAAGAGAACTCTGGTTTTATACAAGCAGTGGCTCAAGAAGTGACTACCACCCCTGGGGCTAAAGAACAAAGGGAAGAGGTTGAAATTGTTAAAACCTAGAAACTTGGGGAGGGACTATGCGGAGCTGAAGCTCAAACCCTGAGGAGGGGTGCAGGTGTGGGAAGAACTGAAACTGGACTCGGCTGCAGCCACGAGGGCACTGCCACTGCCAGGCTGCAACAGGCTGGGGCAGCACTCACAGGAAGAGAAAGCAGCAGACAGGAAGTAGACAAGAAACGGATGGGAAGCAGACAGGAAGTAGACAAGAAGCACGCAGGAAAAGCAAGTCCCTCCCTTCCCCTCCAGCCTTCCAGGCTCCCAAGTGCCCCTGTTGTCAGAGCCCAAGCCAGCTGGCAGAGCAGAAATGCAGCATGCGACATGCCAGCCCCAGCATCCCTCAGCCCAGCGTGGAAGGGTGGGCTTGGAGCTGACGGACATAACTCACCTGCCACTGTCCATCTCTTTGCCTACCATGCACATTCCTCTGCAATTTATGAACTTCCATACAGTATCAAACAACTCTATGTCCCCACCAAATAAGATGCAAATATCCTTCACACAAAGGACAACATTCTTACTCTCACCCCAGCGTGAGAATTCACTAAATCCCAACAGTGACATATGTACACCTGGGTGATGTGAATTACTCCTCAAAATCAGTCACTGTCCCATCTTAATGTTTTGTTACCTACGGGCTAAACTAAAATTAACCTCCAACAAATGAATGAAATTTAAATACGGGAAGGAATGTAGAAAAGAAAAAATAGTGAATACACACAGGTGCACGGGTGCACGCATGCACACACAGGTGCACATGCGAGCAAGAAAGAAAATATGCATTGGTGTTTTCGTCCTCTTTTCTGAAACTGGCATGAAGCCACAGTCAATATTCATAACCTCTTTCTTCTACTACCCATTCTGTATGTCCTTTGCCTTTACCCAGGCCTCAGCTGGTTGGGTTTATTTACCTCATGGATTAACCCAAATCTTCATTCATGTAGGGTCTGAGTCCCGTGGTGATCCTGCCTTTTTGCTGTCTTTGTAAAGCTACTGTTGAAGTAGTTTTACATTAACTTTTTATGTTGGACTGGGCAGGTCCAAGAGGAACCCAAGAGAATCCCCTAGGTTCTAGACATAATCTTCCCTGCCCCCACTGTGGAGCACAAACCCAATTTCCCGTGGTAGTCAGGATCGCTCACCTAGTGGAGTGACCCCCTTCTTTCCCTGCTGGCTTAGTGGCATGGGGAGCCCCAAACAGTCATGGCAATCTCAATTTCCAGTTGACAATTTCCAGCCATTGTTGTGTCTCCTCTTGGGAATCAAGGCCTCCAAACCAGCAGAGAAAATGTTCAGAAAGAGGAAACAAAAATCCTGCCAGTGGGTTATTATGATGGTGGAAGGAGCCACCCCGACCTCTACCGACAATTTCCAGCCATTGTTGTGTCTCCTCTTGGGAATCAAGGCCTCCAAACCAGCAGAGAAAATGTTCAGAAAGGGGAAACAAAAATCCTGCCAGTGGGTTATTATGATGGTGGAAGGAGCCACCCCGACCTCTACCCCTTGAGTGCCCAACCTAAGTACTCACGCTACGTTGGTCTCATAGCAAAAGCATAGAGCTGTAGGAAAGGAAAGGTTAGCACTGCCCTTGACAAGGGCAGAGGAGCCTGTGCAACACGCACACAGTTAAAGCACTGCCACCCACCACGTGGCTTTGTCCACTTCCACAATATACCCAAAAGGATTGGAAGCAGGACTCGAACAGATGTACACCCATGTTCAAAGCAGCACTATTCACAAGAGCCAAATGGTGGAACAACCCAATGTGCACTAGCAGATGAATGGATAAACAGCATGCGCTCTATCCACACACTGGAGTGTTACTCAGCCATACAAGAGAGAAGCACTGACACATGGCTGCAGCGTGGATGAACCTCGAAGACATTCTGCTGAGTGAAAGAAGTCAGACACAAAAGGTCACATGTGGTATGATTCCACTTGTATGAGGTCCCTAGAGTAGTCAAACTCATAGAGACAGAAGGTAGAATGGTGGTGGCCAGGGGCTGGGAGAGGAGGGAATGTGGAGTTAGTGTTTAATGGAGACAGAGTTTCAGTTTGGAAAGATGAAAAAGTTCTGGAGAGGGATGATGGTGATGGTTGCGTGACAGTGTGAATGTGCTTAATGCCACAGAACTAGACACTTAAAAATGGTTAAAATGGTAAATTTTATGTTATATGTATTTTACCACAATAAAAATATTGATTTTTTTTTTAAAGCATATGCTGCCTTCTGTGAGATGGAACCCCATCTCTCCAGAGTGTTATTGCCCAGCTGGCCCGGCACTGAGCATTCAGACGGCCATTGCAATTAGGCCGGCCACTTCTGGGTGGGGTGATTGGCACAGCCAGTGGAGCACACAGGCATGAGCCACCCGCCTTAATTCTCCGGCTGCGAAATGGGCTTGTGATCAGAAGGGACATGTGGGAAGCGTAAGGCTGAAACACCACGGGCAGGGAAGGTGGCTCCGCTTCCAGGCAGTGGGTCTATTCTTGTAAGGAAACATCTCTACCCCCTCCGTGGAGGAAGGGACCTGATGTAACCAGCCTGCCACCAGGTGCCGCTGGGGCCCTTCTCGTTAAGGGGCCACGTCCAGACTCGGTGTTGACAAATTCAACACTCAGCAGCAGCGCTTACCAGGGCGATCCTGGGGAAGGGAGTCCAGTGTCGGGCATGCGCAGCCTCCTTCCCCGCTCCCTGTCACCGTGGCTGCTTGGTGCAGTGCCCAGGGAACAAGCACTGCGGTGCCCTAGGGAGAGCCTGACCACAGCCCCGCTTCCGCAGACTGCTTTCGTTCCCAAATATCGCTCTTCACCCGGGGATTTAAACATGTTGGATGGGTATTAATCCACTACAGTATGTACGGGCATTTCTCATCACAGCTCAAATTCCCTTTCCTGAACTTATAGGATGTTCGGGCTCTCTTCACTTCCCCCATGGTCAATCTGATCGTTACTCTGCAATATGTGTCCCTGTCCTGGAGGGCAGCCAGGAGAGTCCGTGTTGAGAGCAAGAGCACTCCAGCCTTCGGGCAGACCGAGGGCCCCCAGCAGTCACCTGCTGCTGGACCACACAACCCCTCCCAGCTCCACCGGATGGTCACTGTCCTTCCTAGTGAGGACCTCGGCTATCACATCCTCAGGTCCACCCTCTGTGCCTTTGGCTCCCTCTGCTTCCTCTAGCACCAACGCAGATGCCATGCAGGGCTTGTGGCCACAGGTAGTTTGTCCCCACCCACTTGTATTTGGGGGATCATGGGGGGCTCGGGGGAATATCTCCTCACCTTAATATTGTCCATTGGGATTTTGGTTTTGCTATCTAGCACTATTTTTATGTGGGGATTCAGGGAAATTTAAACACTGTTAAATCCAACTTCCCGGGATTTTGGGGTCCCCTCCCCTCTGCATTTTATTGTCTTTGCATCTGCACTCAACCAGTGCTCGAGTGGACTTGCCTGCATGTTTCCAATTCCTTTGCTCACCTTCCCCCCTGCAGCTCACTCCTTCCCTCTAAGTTCCGTCTCCTCCTGGACTGTGTCCTTCAGCACTCCCCTCAGCAGTGCTCTTAATCTTTGCCTGTAAATATCTTTGTATTTTTCCCTGCTCTTGGTGAAAGCTCAGTGCACTTCTTCCCATGGCCTGAGGCCCCAGGCGCCCTGCTCTCTGACCTCTCCACCCCACCCTCCAGCCTTCCTCCCCGTCTCAGTGCTTTGCCCCATTGGTCGTCTTTGTGTCCCCTGAACACACCAAGTTCTGTCCTGCTCAGGACCTTAAATGTTTGCCACTCCTCGTGCATGAGCTGTCCCCACCTGCCACCCACAACCTCCACTCAAGTTCTGGCATAAGTGGTCCCTTCTCATTCTCCAAGTCTCAGCTTCAATGTCACTAACCACCCTCCACCCCAAACATTCTCTCCTCCAGCCCCTTTAGAGCATTATTTGATCTTTTCATTATTTTGTACAAATGTCTTACTTGGTCTCTGCCCTCCTGTTAACCCATCTCCTCTGGGCAAGCTGCAAGGGTCCCATTTCCCTTCGCAGTCATGGCCGCTTCTCTAGAGCCACTATCTCCTCTCCCCCTTGCTCACTCTCCCACCAGCACTGGCAGGAGGCCCCTCGCACCAGTCCTCCCTTCTCCACCCAGCATGCAGGTTCTACTTAAGCATTTGCTCTGCTTCTCCAGGCAGGGTCTCCAGAGGGACCAGCAAGGGGAGCTGGTGGCTTAGGTGGGAGGACCCCGTGACGAGAGTCCTACGAGAGCTTGCCAAGGCCAACATAATGGTCATCAAACCACTGCCTCGACCAGCATTGGCTCTGTTGTTGTTTTTTAAGATGAAAAGGCTGCGAGAGGCCACAAGCAGGCTAAGGGAAACAAGCCCACCACCTAGACTTCAGTCAGGGAGCTCAGGACACAGCTGCCCTTTCTGGGCTGGTGGTCACCAACTCCAACCAAGGCTGACAATTTCAAGGAGGGAGGGATAGTCCCAGAAGAGAAGTGGCTCGTGGTAACTTCTATCCGTCTGGCTACTACGATGGGATCTTACTCTCATAAAATTTTGTCAAAAACACAAAATGTCCTCCATCATAGGATTCTGTTTTTCATTTTTACATAATGTCTCATATAATTTAGACAGTTCATTTATACCCAAAATATATTTACTTCAGACACTTAGCAGAAATGCACTGTTTTAAATAACAGACACTTTCATTCAGTTATCGTCAAAGAATTGGTCACAAAGGATTTCACGTAAACTGGTCATTTATTAGCGTTGGTTCTGTTTGCCATAGCAAGTCTCCAGTAAATGAGCTGAGTTGCACGAGGTGACAGACCAAAGTGAGTTCAGGTGCATGGACGTGGGCTCTCACTTCTTCCATTCGTTCTTGTCGTAGTCCCACTTGGCAGAGAAGCCCTGGATGGGGTTGACCTTCATGTCAAGCATCCTCTTGGTCTGCATGGCCACCCATTCTTTGTCGAAGGTGTGTGGGATTGGGCCGTACACTGCAGTTCAAAACACAGACTGTTTCCAAGCCAATACCTCCCACAGGGTAGGTCCTCCCAATGCACTGACCAAGACCAGCAAAGCCACTTTCTACTCAACACCCACTTAAACCACAGGCTTTCGTTTCTGGGCACTAACAACTCTTAAAATTTTTTAATTAGACCTTTGTTCATAAAGTTAGCAATAACATAAGTGAAAAGCAAAATGTCTTCTCCATAGGCTGTAGGTCATAGGGTCTACAGGTTAGCATACAGCACAAACAGCCAGCGGAGACTTGGGAGAAGATCAGATGCACGGGCTCGGGTCTGTTCTAACCCATGTCCACATTCAAAAACCGAAAGTACAGGAGTATACCTGTTCTGCCCGGACAGAAAGAACCTGGGAAAGGCTACATTAGAATGAGCAGATGACCCCAACAGTGTCTAAAGAGAAACTACCAGGTCTGAAGCCCCAGAATTCTGGCTGGTAAGATGCAGTCCCCATAACAGTTGAGAAGGCCATTCAGTGAGTGAGTTCCCTTCTCCTTGCTTGAACCTTCACCAAGTCATTTTTTGGTAACTGAGTGGTGAACTGATAAACCAGTACTAAAGATGTGCTCAGCTGTATACAAAGTAGGTAAGTATTTTACTACCAAACAAGTATGGCCGGCTATGAATAAATCAGATTCTGGCTTATAAATTGATCTCCCACAACTTCAGTTAACACAAGAGTTTCCCAAGACCTGGAAAACAATCCCGAAATGGACCCCAGAATGAAGGTACCCTATCTCATGGTTCCAAGGCAGTGTGAAGGCCCCACACCTCCCACAACTGGGCCCCAAAGGCTGGTGCTGTTCTGGCTACCTCCAGGTTCACCCGAGCCCCACTCCAGGCACCCCATGCCCTTCTCCCCTCTCCACTTACCATAGCGCTTCTCCCAGATCAGGATGAGAGCCGTGAAGCCAATGAAGAACAAGGCAGTGCCCACAACCGTCTTCCACTCATTCGTGCTCCTGTTCATCTCGGCAAAGCTCTCTTTGAATTGAATGCGGTACACTGGGGACAGAAAGAACAGCTGTTTGCAGACATAAAGAGTGGAGTGGACCAACCACTCTTTCCTGCACAGGGCTCAACCACTGTCCAAAACAGCAAACCCGGGCCGGCCCCGTGGCGCACTCGGGAGAGTGCAGTGCTTGGGTGCGCAGCGGCGCTCCCGCGGCGGGTTCGGATCCTATATAGGCATGGCCGGTGCACTCACTGGCTGAGCGCGGTGCGGCCAGTCACCAAAAAAAAAAAAAACAGCAAACCCAAGGGAGAAAGCACAGAGCTGAGGGACACATCAGCCAAGGCACACACATGTGCCCTAACACACAGGCGGGGGGGGGACAGGAAGAAAATGCATGGAGTTTGCTTTGGGTGAAGAAAACAACTGTGAAATTATTCCTTCTTTGCATTACACTGTAAGGGTCTAATGAAGTTGTTTTCCTGACCCTTTCACACTGATGTAAGTGTTCTGCTGACCTTCTTTCAATGACCTACAGTAAACAAAGTGCTATCCAGCAGACATACTGAGGCTGCAAATACAAGCTCTGCTCCTTCCTGGGGGGTGGGGAGGGGATCCAGTCAGCCTGCAGAGCACAGAAACTGGGGCCCAGGACAGTCCCTCAGAAACCCAGCAGAGAGACCCTCCTGTGCTGTGTTCTCGGCAGCCACCCCAGAAATGAGCAAGTCTCTCTCACACACACTTCCAAGTGCTACAAGGTTTGCCTGCAAGTCAAATACTCACACTCAACTTTTTCATCCATGGAGAGGTTGCTCCAAGAGGCCTTCTCCTTCTCTTTTAAAGCCTTCTGGCTGGCGGACAGGTGCCTGACATGGGCTATGTCAGGCAGGGGATAGTCACGCCGATCAACATAACTTGGGAGAGCATAGTCCTCACTCTTCACAACGCTTCCTAGAAAATACATTGGAAAAGTATTTGAAAATTCACACAGACTGAAAGTCGCAAACAAGGTGCTACTCCTGAAAACCAAAATAAGCACATGTATGGACACCCTAAAGCCCTCAGTCATCTCAAGGGGTCATGGCCACTGTTTCAAACAGGCAAAGGACTGTCTTGTAGAACAAGGAGCAGCCTTGTCCGGCGTGGCCTTGATGGCAGAATGGTGGGAGAGCATAGTCCTCACTCTTCACAACGCTTCCTAGAAAATACATTGGAAAAATATTTGAAAATTCACACAGACTGAAAGTCGCAAACAAGGTGCTACTCCTGAAAACCAAAATAAGCACCTGTATGGACACCCTAAAGCCCTCAGTCATCTCAAGGGGTCATGGCCACTGTTTCAAACAGTCAAAGGACTGTCTTGTAGAACAAGGAGCAGCCTTGTCCGGCGTGGCCTTGATGGCAGAATGGGGGTGGTGGGTAGATGACCCACAGTAGAACTTTTCATCAGGAAAACAAAAACCTGCCAGGGGTGACCGCTAAGGAACCTGGTGCCAAGGTGCCCTGAAGCAACACTTCCCGCATTAACAGTTATTCATGCAGGGCCAGACCATGGCTCTCAGGGTTCCCTGCCCTGGATGGGAGACTGGACTAGAGGAAAGCCCTTCTGCAAAAGATTCAAACTAATGAGGAAGAATAAAAACAATATAACTCTTATAAAAGAAACAAGTGTTCCAAGTTCAGGTAAAAAGACATGAAAAGATGGTTCCTGCTGCATCATTACAGAAATAAGCTGTATCCAACAGAGGGCTGAGTTAGAAATTGTGCTAGCTCCTTAGAAAAGGGTATCATGGAGCCAT